TGAACATGCTGTTTCCTCTGGCCTGTGAAAAAATGTTTTTTAGAGCAGATGGTGGGCTGGAGAACTAAGTTTCAAAAATTTTTCCTCATTTTCAGCAATGTGCCGAAGTAAGAAATGGAAAACCTGATCGATGTTTTGATTTCAGAATTAGTAATGGAAAAGCAATCATTCCTGATCGAAACAAAACAAACCCGATCTAAAAAGCGTTTGTTTTGTTGAAGTTACGGGACTTTTACTCAAAGCACTGCTACACGCAGAATTTAATCATTATGACGCACTCGATAGAAACTTCCATAGTTCTACAGCCAATAATCGTCATATAGAATATCAGTCGTACACATCAATTCCATTTTAGATGAACACCAATTTGGTATATAATAAATTTTTATATCATTTGTAGTTTCAGCTCTACCCCCCTTGAAAAATATTATTTTCAACCGTGTCCATCCAACGTCAAATATTTTTCTATGATATGGAAGTGTTCAAAATATTGAAATTCAATCAGAAAAGATCAAAACACCACATTTAACAATCTACACATCTGCATTTTTACGAGATATTTTTGATATGGTCAAATTTTTAAATTTGACCAGCCTTTCTTAAACGTTTCATTTCAAACATTCACATTCCTTTTTGTACGGTTTGATGTGCGCTTTTAAATGAAAAAGAAATTAGAACTTTACATTTGCACTGTGAGAGATGTTGCTCTAGTGCTGTTGAGAGTGTGGGTTTTGGCATTATACATCGAAACATCATTCATATTCTCAAAAACTTTTTTCTTTTTTCTACCATGTCTTTCAGTATTTTGAGCCGTGTGTCCCACAGGATAGGTGACCAAGCGTTAGCGTTTGCCAGAAATTGATGACATATTTGATGACACTCAAAACTTCGACACAGACATATTTTTAGATGCTCCTTCTACTGGTATCTTCAAAATATCAAAATAATAAATCCAAGTATAATAGATTTTCTAGATACCCCTTCAAGAACCAACGGATTTCAGAAGTATAATTTCGCACTGTTAACCATCAGTAATTTCAGCCCATCTGAAATTGTATTTCGCCTGAAATTTTCACCTCCTATACTTCTGGAGTGAGGAGATAAACCGATGTCAAATCATGAAAAACCAACGACACTATAGCATCTGGATGTCCTCCACTATTTTGTTTCGTATAGGATCAAACAAAACGTTTTCCACATGAATATTTCAGGAGAGATACAATTTCAGATGGGCTACAATTACTGATGGTTAAAAGTGCGAAATTGTATTTCTGAAATCCGTTGGTTTTTGAAGGGGTTTCTAGAAAACCTATTATACTTGGATTTAGTATTTTCATATTTTGAAGATACTAGTCTAGTAGAAGGAGCATCTAAAAATATGTCTGTGTCGAAGTTTTGAGTAACATCAAATAATGTTTAGCGAGCATATTATTATTAATAAAGGTATTCGCATCATGTATGTTAACATGTTTGTTGTGACCAGTTTAAAAGCAATTTATTCTAGTTAATGTATGCAGCTCCATGTTAAAAGGAGAACAATAAAGTTACTATTCTAGCTAATAATGTGAAGTTTCATGGAAAGTCATAATTGTTAATTAAAAACTGTCAGATGACAACTTCAAGTGGCAAATAACATTCTGTCTCTTGTTCATTTACTCTGTGTTTAATTAATTCAGCTAATTTGTTAATATCTGCTTGAACGGAATCAGTATTCATATAGTCAGTTGTTAATTCAATTAACTGGTTTAAATCGCTTTCTGTACCTATATTCATTCTCACCGTTTCATCTAACGCAGGATAAAAACGAAAATATGGTGTATTATATCGATGACATGCTATTTTCATACCTAAAGTTCTAAAATTAAAGTTTAGGTGTGGTTTTGTAGAATATTTCGTGGTGCATCTTTTAAAAAACACTAACCGCGAGATTCTGAACGTACACGAGAAAAATAGAAAATACTCAGAGGCTCATTCATTATGATGCACTCGATAGAAACCTCCATAGTTCTACAGTCAATAATCGTCATACGGAATCTCAGTCATACACATCAATTCCATTTTAGATGAGCATTAATTTGGTATATAACACATTTTTATATCA